CCCCCCCCCCCCCCCCAAAAAAAAAAGTCCACATAGCCAGGATAGATTTCATTACGATTTGTTCATAAAGTGCCTCAGATAGACATCACCAAGGTATGGTCAGGCCTTCTTAATGTTTGTTAAACTGGGGTCTCCCCAATAAAATAAAATGAAATAGTTTTTAATAAATAAAAAGCACTATCTAAACAACGCTCCAGTGTAGTTTTCTGGAGGAGATGTTACATCAATCCCTTATGGTTACTCTCCAACCCAACGTACTTTGGACAAACCAAGGTAACCTTGTGTACTTCGGTATTTTCATTCTACTGATCTCACCACAATAAGGTATTCTCAATCTTATCCTAAATTGTTCCAGTATATTTGCAGAGCTATGCTGCATCCTCAGAAACAGCTGCAATTCAGTAGCAAGTGAGGTAACAATTGCAATATATACAGATTTTATTTTAGTGTTTCCTCTTGCTCTAAAGTTAATTTAATGCTTAAATTGTGGTTTTGTTATCATGTGCTAGGAAAACTGTGCTACCACAAAATAACCTTTATAGCTATAGGTGTCATACTAACACTTCTGTTCATTTATACCACTATGATAATACTGTTTTAATTCAAAAGCGTCTGCTCTATTGAAATCCTAAGGGCAAATAAAACTCACTAAAATCAGGAAAAAGTACAATAGTTCTTCTACAGTGCCTCTGGGCATGTAGAAACTTCATCTGGTAGAAGAAAAGTTTTGTAAAAAAAACCCCAAACAAACCACCAAACAAAACCCCCAATTTACATATTGTGAGAATTATACATACTCTTTTCATGTACTTACACTTCAGATTTAGATTATGTCTATCAAACTCCACCATCTGAATAAAGCTCTATAACTGACCTCTATACTCAAGGGAGAAACAGATGTTAATTTTACTTTGCAGATCCAAAGGGAGAAAGTAATATCATAATCCAGAATTTTAATTCTATCTTAGTTTTTCTGCAAGGAAGAGCCCATTTTTGTCTCTCCGTAGGTCTGTCCTTTTGGTGTTCTCCTGCCCTGTCCTGCCTGGTGTGCTGTCTGTTCCCACGGATTTGCTTTTCCATCAGCACTGTTGGCATTTACCAAGCTTGACACCATCATCCACGGCAGAGCATCTCTTATCTTCACATTGCTTAATTTTTCAAATCTAACATATTTGGGCTAATAAACACTATTTTCAGACTAAATTGCCACTGATATACAGACTACTACCTCAAATATCTCTGCGTAGGATAACAGCCTAAACCTTCTTTTATCTGTTTTTCAATCCTGGCTTGAATTAAGCTACTTTTTCCTGAGAAAAAGATTATTTGCTTTGTTCCTCTACACATCCTTAACTCATTTCCCTAGAGAGACAGGGACAAGAGATTCAAAATGCGATTCAGTGCATTTACTAACCTGCTACTCTGGGAGAAATATGTAGCAGCCATTCCACCTGACAGAGAAATACGAACACAACAGTACTGGTGGCTTTTTGCTGTTTGTCATCACTGTGCTAGATTTTGGTCTCACAGCCCATAGGAGTCTCCTCTTGTACACCATCGGTGCTAAAAATTGCTCCAACACTATGAGACATTTGTTTCTGTTACTCTCCAATTTTCTTCTCGTTTCTGCTACTGAAAAGGTGCAAAGAGCTTTTTTCCCTGTCACTATTTCAATTTCATTCTGCACAACAAGATTTCTCTTCCCTGAGAAAAGGGCTAACAAGATAACTTTAGCTCAGGACCCTACCCAGATGGAAAAATATTTTTCAGACTTATTATGCTAACAGAGTAATTTTAATCTGTTATTTATCCAGCTCTGCTCTGTTTTCAGATGCATTATTTATCCAATCATCATCTAATTATTATCATGTATCAAAAAGTAGAAACTTATTGAGTTCAAATAATAGAAAATAACACAAGAACAGAAGGCTTTTTAATCACAATCATGAAAGAGAAAATTGGAAAAAATGACACCAGAAATTCACCCCTGACTTACAAAATAACTGATGGCTGTCTAGCTTAAAGCAAAAGTGAGGAAGTAAACATCTACCCCAAATATCTTGTTTCTAACTATTTCAGAAGCCAGGTCAGGGACTCACTTAAAAATTTCAAGGTTTTTGCACACCTGACCTCTACGCTAACGAATTTTTGTGCTCTTCCAAACTTGTAACTTGCAGTAGAACACATGAGCCCTTTACAAAAAAAAAAAAACAACCAAAAAAACAACAAAAAAAAAACCAAACAAAAAAAAAATTGAGGACTGGTAGTAAATGCTAGTACGAAATATCATGTGCCAGAGCATCACAGTAATGGGTAAGTTACATAATTACACTATGTATATATACATATATATAACTATATATATATTAAAAAAAATATATAGACATATATACACACACACACCCCTCTTTGCACAAAAGAAAGATCATATTTGTTCCTAAGCTGGCCTCTGAATTGGAAGAAGATAGAACAAGTGTTAGTTCAAATATACAATAGAAATTAGAGAAGAAAAAATTATTGTACTATATCTTTTCCAAATTTTTGTCAAGTCACATTATAAATAACTTAAATTATACGGTTTTCATCACTCCTCTGAGAGAAGACTTTATATGAGTGTTAGGAAGTAACCTGGTTTATACCTGCTTTACTCGCTCCCTGCTGTCACTGTTGCAATATCCTAACAGGCAACAACAACAAAAAAAAACATATAAGGCTATAAATGCTGAAATTGCAATATCACTGAGCAAACTGGGTATGAAAAAAGTGAGATTATACAGGAAAAAGGTTTTAGTGATTGATGATAACACCATATAGTTAGGATGGGAAAGAGCTTCCATTTACAGTCAGCTTTATTTATTTTTTTCTCCCTATATGGGTTGAGACTTTTAATGCACAGTCACAATCCTGTCAGGTATTGGATTTGTTAAGCTATTTAAAAGCTGTGTGTTACATAAACATTTTCACTATGTAAAAAACCCAGACGTTTAGTGTTCCTACCACAGTATGTCTCATGTCTGGACTTAAGACAATTTTAAATGAAAGAAAATCTCATTAGTTTCCATACTGAGATGAAGAAACAAAGGCAACAGTAAAGGGAAAATTACTTACTCAAAAAATTACTTTTAATATAATGGATTTAAACCACAACGCTAAAAAAAGTCTCCAAAGCTCAGTTCCAAGATGTGTTAATTGAACTTGTTTCGGGTAGGTGAGGACTGGAGAAGTCATATCAGTATTTTAACACTAATTAAGAGAGTAGAAAAATCGTTTTCACCTTTTCTTTGCCAGGCAACACAGGGGAAGAGCAAGGCCACCAGCCCCAGCATTGCATTGCTCTGACTCTCCAAACACAGATTTTCTCTACCAGCCTCTGATGAGCCCCCGGTCAACTGAAAAATTAAGTTCCTGTGGCTCCGAGGAGGGAGCAGAACTCATCTCAAGAGCATTATGAAAACAAAGTTTTGGTGCAGTTTTTTTTTTCCTGAAACTTCTACCATGCTTTTCCTACTAGCTGCCATGAGAACCGACAACTTAGTCACTACCCAAACGTCTGCATAAATGCAATGAAAAAAAATTGGTAATTCAGGTTTGCTGCTGCTTGGCA